AAAGACTATGATACAAAAAAAAAACTCTTCAACTCAGTTTATTCAAGAGACAGAAGAAAAAAATAGATTTTCATGAATGATCTTTGCATGGAGTCTTATTGCTTTTTAAACTCATGCAAAGTTGGCAAATGAAATAATGGAGCAATTGGATGATTCCTTTTTATGAACAGAGTGAAGTCATGGCATTGTAGTTTTATAACATCAGCCATTATCTGCTTTCTCACTTTATTCATTCTCAAAATATCTAGTCTATAGAGCATGAATTTGCTAGCATTTCCTGTAGAGACCCTATTCACCCTTGATCAGGAAACCTTTCTTCTGCTCGAAAGCACATTTCTCCCCTTTGCATTTGATGGCCCACATCTACACAGCCTTGTGTCATTTTCACTCCCCTCAGCCCCAGTTCTCTTGAATGCAGATCCTTTTGCCCAGATCCCAGACCTCTTTCTAAGCCTTTTCTCATCCCTCCCATCAGGGAGATGGATGAATTTAGCCTGTGTGTCTCTTCCTAGACTTACTCTGACTACAGTCCAGTTAGTTCTCAGCTATTTTATCTACTTGTTACTGGTAGATAGCAATGGGGCCTTCACTCTTTTGTATTCCTTTTGCTATTTGAAACATACTTGTGACTGCCTGCCTAAATAAGCAATGAGTGATAATTTTTTTTATGATAAGAACCTGTACAATAACTTAGACATTTTACAGGGAAATTGTTCTCTGCTGCAACAAACAAAGGAGGATCAAGAGAAAAGTCCCCATGGAAGGCTTTTATGAATGTTCCAACATGTCCCCAAATCTCAACTCCCATTTTCAAAGTTAGAGTGAAAGTCAGGAATAACCCGAGTACTTAAATGTTAATGTCTGTGTTTCTCAAGAACTTTATTTTAAACTGCATTTTTCCTTTGTAAAGCCTGCCCTAATGGAGTCTTCAACACTTACCCAATGGTTCCAGGGCTAGATAACCACAAAGATAAAATAATGGTTTAAATGATTGAATTAACTGCAAGTAAAACTTCTAATTCTAATGCAAATGTTGTGGATATCTTAGTGACTTGCAATTTTTCTAAGGTTTTATCAGTATCAATTTCTGTTTCTTTTTGGATGTCACCAAGTACAAGCACATAATTGGCTTTATTTGTGGTGAGTATTGTTACTTCTATTTTAGATATCCTTCTCTTTTTTCTTTACGCCTAACTTATTTGGTTAAATTAACATGGACATATTAACAGCAGATAATTCATAGAGATAAAATGAAAGCATATTCAATGCATTAAATTTAAATACTTTTATTTCATATTATAGCATAGCAGAAACTAATGCTATTATTTTGAAGTCTATTAAAAACAGAAACACATCAGTGACTTTCCTGCTAACAAAAGTGAGAACTCTACAGAATTGTTTAAATTCACTTTCTTAGCATTATTTTTTTTAAGATGGTGCCAAAGTATTACATGAAATCTGCACAGAGCGCTTCAGAGCCACTCCATGTAGTACAGTAGGTTGGTGCAATGATGAGTCGCAGATGTACTCTGGGTTGACCAGACTCACTGAGACAACCCTGAGAGCAGGATGAGAGAAAGAAGAAAAGAAGCTTTATTTGCCTGATTCTCTTCCATCTCCACTCCCACTGGCTGAGGTTTGCCCCATGCCTGACACCTCTTAGGAAGCCAGCTTCCACACTCAGCATTGTTGGATGTCACCCACAGGTGCATACTGATGGAGAGAAGGAAAGGGGATCCCTGAGGGAACAATATTCATCTCCAGTTGAGTCTACAGTCATGTCACCTGGCCCCTGGCTCAAAGTAAACATTCAACAGGCAGCTGTCACTGCTGGAGAACCTTACTATACCACCACTACTCTTGAGTTACTTATATCAATTGATTTGACTGATCCTCATGATAACTTGATGGAGGTGATGTTGCTACTACTATATTGCATTTCACAGAGGAGGAATTTGAAACTCAGAGATTAAACAGCTATTCACTAGGACAGTACATTTGATAAACCTAGTCTTATTTTAGAGTCTATTTTGTTAACCTCTGCATTCGATTCCCTCTAAGGGGCTATTATTTTTATTATTGTTGTCATTACTAGAATGTGTAAATATTTTTATTATCATAATAGATATCACTAGCAAAATATGTTAATATATGCTTTACAAAGGTTTTTGTAATTTTTACCTTTTAAAACAAAAGCAGGTGCTTTAGCTACATGCAAACCCACACAGAAACTCTTGGGACTTACCCATGATTTTTGCACTAGGTTGTAGGTGACAGGATCATAAGACTGAAGAAAATATGTGTGGCTCATTCAACAGAAATATCTCCTGCATAAAATTTCTTATATAAGGATGACTCCAACCAGGTCTGTAGTAGAGAACCTGAAGACTTAGGAATTCTAATTCCATTTCTTCCACTAGCTGATTTGTTATTCAGTCAATCATTTCATCTGGACATGTGTTCCCATATTTGTAAAATAGGGTATTTGTATCACTTATCTCATACACATTGCAGGAATCTTTATTTTATTGAAGTTAGAAATAGGGAGAATATTCCTGAAATGGAAAAAAAAATACACATATATTGAAAACTACTTGAAATGATTTGGGGAAAAAAGTGTTTTTAAAAAATACTATATTTTAAAAGCCCCTCGATAAATATAGATACTATATTTGATAATTCTGTATCCCAGTTATAATGGTTTTTATCATTTAACCTTTAATGAGATCATAATTTTTTATTACATTCTTTATGTGGTACCATATCTTCATCTTTATTGATATAAAAAAAACTTGTATATCAAGATAAATAATTTATTCAGCTCTTCCTACTTGGTCATTTAACAAAGAGTAGTTGACATAAATATAACTGTAGTGTTCAATATGTCAGAAAGTGTTCAACACTCTCTTGTATGGCAATAAATCAATTAGGAGTGTAAGATTGATTTTTTTCAATAATTGTATGAATTTATTAAATTAATTGCTTTTGTGATTTGTGATAACCCCAGATCAGTTTTTCTAGTGTTTTGGCAAGTTTCTTGAATTTATATCTTGGGCTTCCCAGGTCTTGCTGGCTTTATTGTGTGTTTTCTTTGTATAGCAGCACTGACATTCTTTAACATATCGTTCACTCTCAGCTCTCCTTGTCAAACTCCCCAAGTACACACTGTTTATTTTATATTTCCATCTCCACAAGATGTACAGCTTTTACTACTTCAAATAATTTGCATTTTTGATTTTTTATCCAAGTCCTATGTACTTTTTTATAACTTAACCTAAGCATGTATGCAATGTATGCATTTCCATTATATTAGGCCTTTTTTTCTTTTTAATATAAAGTCTCTTCATATTTATCTACTAAAGCATCTATAAAGCATCAACTTCTTTGTAGTTTTTTTTTTTTTTGCAATTGCTCAGAAAATAACCATCTTTATCTTTGGATAGACATAAAATTGGTTACATGCATATCTGGGTAATTGTCCTTATAATGGCAGTTCATTGGTTATTTTAAATCATCGTAAAGACTTTTAAGATAATTATAGACATGTTTTTTTATAGAATGTCAAAACTAAAGATTAAAAGTAATACTATGTTCTTTTTTTAATGTAATACACAATTATTATTTTTTCCTAGAAAAATTCTCATTTATTCATATGTAACTGCCTTGAAATTTGTACCTTAAGGACAAAGAAAGGTCACCAATCCCTCTAACTCCTGGTTCTTTGTCAAAAATGGACACAGTTAATGAGGTTTGTTTGGTACAGAACAAATTCTCAGACACAGATAGAGATCCTTTCAATGGAAACAAATTTGTTTGGCTTTACCAGGTTACTTAGCGATTAATAATAGCCTTGAGATGCAGGTCAGAAAGGTCACTGTACCAGCTTGCCAACACAATCTAAATGTGCAGCTAACCCAGCTCTGTGCAGGGGAGCAAAAGACCCCAAATACTATGCATAAAGAAAAACGGGCTATTTTCTGACTCCTTTTTTCATATTAATAAGCAATTTTCAAGAGAAGGGTGGTAAAATGAGGGCCATGCCACTCCAAGTAATTCATTTATTTTGCAATTTAATCTTATGTTGAAAAAAATTGCTCTGCTACGATAGCATAGCATGGTGATTTTTAAACGTCAGTGTGTTTCATAAGTAACCTTGTATGAAGTATTGTATGAGGACCCTGTAACAGAAAATTGCAACAGAAATATTTTTAGACATTGAAATAGAAATATTAGAAATGTGAATTTTGGGGGTGGGGAGTGGAGGAATTTCCTTCTGTACTTTCCCCTGATATCTCTGAGGTCAGTGATCAAATAATTTACTTAAAATTTTACTTAGAGAGCTAGACACCGAGTTATGAGTTATGTACCTATTTTTCAAGAAGAAGAAAGTATAATTAAAAACATTGTTTTAACACAAACAGGTAAATTATTTTCTTTCCTATACTTGTTCCTTTTGACAGATATTTTCACATATTATCTTTTAAAAACTTATTTTTTGTTTGTTTCTGAAATACACATAGCTAGTGAAAACAACCTTGTTGTTGTTATTTTAAAATGTTATAATAAACATTGAAGTAAAATTACAATAAAACCAGTATGTGTGTAAAAAAAAGTTAGAGCTTTGTAAATGCAAAAATAAAATGACAGAAAATTAGTAGTTTAGAGGTTTTCTTATACATTTAATTCTGTTCAGAATCATTCATTTTCAACCAAAGAAATTGTCACTTCCTTTGCATTTGATATATTTCCTCAGCTGCTGAATTTATTATAATATGTAGGTTTTTGACTTTTAACATTTAACCACTGTACAGTCACTTAAATACTTTTAAGGATTTCGAGGATTCTCCAGGAATGCACCAGTAAGACAGATTACACTACTGATTTTGATGGATGTGAGTGATGGTTGCCCCTCAAAAACTTATTTGATTATTGTCAGTGAAAGAATTAAAATGCTAGCAGATTTTTAGTCCAATAAATAACTGCCGACTGCTTTGATGCAGGGAGGCACTGGAGGAGTTTGCAGAGATGAAAGAAAGAGAAGAGAAGAAGGCCAACCTCGAGAGGGAAGAGAAGAAAAGAGCTCACCAAGCCCGAAAGATGCATTACCTGCTCAGCACAAAGCAGGTCGGTCTACCTGTCCCTGACAGTTCCCGTAAGCCACTTGGGCCTTCAGCCTGACAGAGATAAACTAGCAGGCTGAATGGGACATGACTTGTTGAAAAGATATCACGAAGACACTACTTCGAGTTCAATTCTGTGCGGCTGTGAGGTGCATGCAGCCCCCAGTACTGCCTGTGACAGCAGCTTCACAGAGGCAGCCCGCTGCCTGGCTGGCTGAAAGATCCCAGTCAGCAAAGTGATCTGCCTCTGTGATAACACAACACGGAGGGTATAACCTCCCTTTCAAAACCCATTCCGAATGGCTCGTGGTGGTGGTGTGAATTGATCAAAAAATCAGAAGTTATTAAGCTGAGGTTGCTTCCCTGTTTTCTCTTTTAATTGGGCTAATGTTGACATTGAAACCCTTCTTAAAAGCCCTTTCTAAATGTTGAGGCAAGTTTGCAGATATAGCTTTTAACAAAACTGCCTCAGTCCTGTTACTGTCCTATAGGGTCACACATGTGGAAATTTGGAATATATAAGAAATTTATCTTCTTTTATTAGCCAAAACTTCAGTAATTCAGCTCTTGTTATGGATGCTAAGAAAAAATAGACTGCATGTAGAATATTATTCTCACAAAGAAATGTAGCTGCAAAAAAGTACAAATTTGGAGGTTCAGGTGTATTTTGTTGCCTGAGCTTTAGAAGGTAACTAACAATGTCTGGGCATTTATTTTTTCTCATGGGCTTTCAAGTCCTGACATCTAGTTCTAGCCAGTCACAGTCAGATTGCTTCAGACATAGGCTTCTCAAGTCTTATTTATAGAGGGCCCTATCTGAGACTGAATGTTGTTTTTAGAGGCATTCAAATTCAAAGCTTATTAAGTATGAAACTGGTCATATTTGGATTACAGACCTCTACTGCACCTGTACCCTGTGTGTGTTTGTGTAAAGCACAGTGATTTCCAAAATTGATGGCTATCTTAGTATTTACTTGGGTTAGGATACCTGAGTTATTTTACAGACAAGGAACTGAAACAGAGATAATTATGTGGCTGGTTTATAGACATAAAACTAGTCATAATAGACTTGGTCCTAAAAACAAATTCGTTTGTTATGCTTTTGTCTTTTGACTCTAAACGTATCAGCAGTAATTTAAAGGTAATAATTGAAATAATAAAAGGGCAAGGTACTTTTACTTTCTATTATACAATCCATAGCAATGTAAAAATTATGGGTGTGTGATTGGTGATTTGCATTAAAAATACAGGAGTCTATGTCAGCTATTATTTTCAGTAAAGTATTTTTTTATTATTTAGTTTTTAGTAATTTCATTTTGGGGAAATCATATTTCCTTTAACTCTTTAAGCCTGCTAATAATTCTCAGGTATTATTGTTTATATTGATGACTCTGAAGCCTCTTTTTACTTTGCATCTCCTTACAGCTGAGCTCAAATTGTGCTATTTTTACATATGGTAAGTAGTATAACAGAGAAAACAATTTTAAAAGAGGGGAAATCAGATTTAATTGAAACATTTGTTATTTCTGTTTTATGCAGGTTTATCTAGATATTAACTATGAGCTGAAGTAATTTACAGAGAGTCCATAAAGACCTAGTCATTTTACTATAAAAATGTGACAGAAAATAATCCACGTTGTGTTTACTGTGTACCAGAGAGTTGGCAGCTTCTATTGATGCATTGTTTCTGCAACTCTTTTGAATTCCTTTACTTTTAAAATTAACTACCTAGTTGAGCAAATTATTTCATACACTTGGCTACATGATTTGACTAGTGAATCTTAATAAATTTTCAAGTAATCGTACACCTGTTGTGTTTCAGGGATGTTTGCGTTTAACAAATCCAAGTTGTCAGCATTCTGACTCATTTTTCTTCTCGGTTGTATCATCCTGGCTGTGAATTCCAATGCATATCAACTTGAGTTTACTGTTCTTTAGAAATCCCTGGTGTCCAATAATACGGTTCTTTTTTAAGGTTCTGTGTACAGTCAAATGCATATAGGTTGCATCATCAACAAGTGACACCCGAGATCTCCCACTTGGTATAAGATATAAGAAGATGATCAAGAATTTTCTAAGCTTGTTTCACTCTGGACCTTGAAAGAATATGTTGAAAATTAAATGTAATATATTTAAAATAGTGTTAGGCTCCTGGAGATAATTCAGTAGGCGATAATAATCATATTATTCAAATTTAATTTGCCAGGGATAAACTATAATTCTGTTCTTTCATTTTCTTCTGTTTGTCTTAGTTGTTGGAAGCATTTCCTTTCTCATTTTCTTTCTTTGTGTCCTTTTAGTCATTAATGAAAAATAGTTAAAGATTTTTATAGTGTTATCTCCTACCCCACCCCCATCTGAGGGCAATACAAGGAGAATTATGTTCTCAAATAGCCTCCCTTGGAGAGGAATATTATAAAAATGTCAGGGGTTTTCATTTAGATCTGACAGGTTGGTGTGCTTTGTCACTGTGATCTTAATATTCGGACCAGACTCAAGTAACTTAGAAATAAAGGATAGCTCTTTGTACACATGGAGAGACTTTTGTTTCCAAGACAAACTTTTTTTGAAGGGTTGTCATGAAAGAGCAGTGGTATCTGTTTGCTGTGGTGAGGGGATTAGTTATACTAACTGGATAGTATGGAAATATTAAAATTTTATTCCATAATTCCACTAGATTTGCTTGACTTAGCTTTCAATCAGTTTTTACCAGCGTATAAAATAGTTCAGTTTTAAAACTGATACTGTAAGTCACAATTACAAACCACCTTAACTGAAACAAATATATACATAACTTAGATTTAATAGAACACCCATAAATCTCACATTGAAATTCATCAATTTATTATTGTAATTGCAGTTTTGAATAATCTCTCTAATGCTGTGCTAAGTAAGACTAGAACATAGAATTTAAACTACATGACCCTTACACATAAGGGACATTTAGCTGATTTATGTCTAATGGAATCAACTTTTTTAAAGTGGAAAGAAGTTCCCAACTTTTCTATTATAGATTATATATGTATTTTCACAAAAATGAACAATCACTTATGTTTATGTTTTTATTGAGATTATTTACTACTTATTTTAATAAATAACTTGCAAGAAGGAAGATGCAGAGAATAAAAAACATATACTTCATTCTGAATGTTGTTACTGATTTTCTCAGCATGACTTCTTTTTCAGAGATAAATTAAGCTAAACAGCAACTTTAAAAATATTCTTGAGTATGATGCTTACAGGTTAATTTCATTGCTTGTTTTAAGACTTGCTGCCTCAAATTACATTAAATACACATGTAAGCAAAAAATAAGCACACATATGAAACTGAGTATTTTGAAAGCCCTGTGTCAGTGTTAAGTGTAGATATTTGAAAATTTACTGCAAATAATTGTCCTAATAGTAAATCAGGAAAGGGAAAGTTTTACTGACTTGCTTAAAAGGATTAATTATAGTAGCATTATTAGTAAATAGAGAAATATCATTTTATTTGTGATTTCAACAGCTTAGGAATGATCAATGTAGTATATAAAACACTATATATTAATGTAGTGTATAAAACACTAATTTCTATATTAAATTTGTACAGCACTAATATTGCTTAACTTAGGTGAGTAGAAGTAAATCACTAATGTGGAAAAATTAATGCTCAGAAAAGGTAAGGACTTTTATAACCCAAAAATGCACCTGTGATTTAGTTATAGATAGCAAATGAAATCATTCATATCACTTAATGTATTAATAATTTTAAAGTGATTATGCCTATAATCACCCTAACAACATAGCTGTAAGCCTATTTTTAGTGTAAATCAAATGCATTTCTTAAAGTAGTTCTAGAATCTGTTACCAGTTTTCAGTGATATTCATAATTTCATCTTTATGCAAGCAAATATGTTAGTGCTAATAGGAATTATACAAGTAAATAACTAATACTGCAATGACTGAATTAATGGACCCCTCAGGGTTTTATTAATTAAAAAGTTCAAGTCATATTAAAGCACCTTTTGTATACGTTTATTTCAATCAGAAAGCTTAACATGGTAACTTATTTGCATAAATAATCAATCACCATTTACTACTAGTAATAAGGTTAATTTGTTGCTACAGACATAATAGCATTAGTCAATTATATTTCCCAGAAAATACTATTTGTTATGCACCCCATCACCAGTAAAACAGGATTGGGTTTAGTTCCCTTATTAAATGAACACATCAAAAAATCTTTGTCCCTATACTATAAAAGTTTAACAGAAAGAAAGCTAATTTTACTTGATTTGAATAAGTAAAATGCAAATATTGCCTCCATCTATAAGCTTAATTTATCTCTCTGCAAAGATTGATTATTTAATAAAGTTATTTATTTTGATTCAGTAGCCAGTCAAAGTAAATCTAACACACATAGGACATATTTCCTTTGAAGAAAATCTCATTTGCAGATTTGTTTTCTTCCAAATAAACGGACTTTTATTCCTTTGCCCTTGTTCTTGAGTAATAAATTATGTTGTCTGCTCCACCTACTGGTGGTTATGTGCAAGGGTCTGATGATAGATTCATCACCACATCAAACATCTGAGGTGTTCTGTGCTCTGTAATTTTTAATAATCTTCCCGCACATCAACAGAGTACAAACACTTACAGTTACAAATGTAAAGCTCAAGATACAAATTATAAAATGTTAATGTTTAATATATAGAATTAAATACATTAACAATTTCCTGATAACTGCCCCTGTTTTTTTTTTATTATGCTGTTAAAGGGATAAGTACAAAATGTATTAATAACTTAGTATATTCTAACTATGCATATTTTAATTTAAATGTGGCACTTACTATTTTATTCATATCAAAGTAAAACCAAAATGAAAATTTATAATTTGAAATAAAGCATGTATAAATATTTTATGGAAATTATTTTCAGGCTATTTATATAATAGGTTTGCATATTTTTCCTTTGTGGGTAGTGAAATTTTTATATTGGTACCGAGAAAAAAATTTTTCAGTTATT